AGCTGTGGGGGACGCGATGGGGTGGGGGACTGCGAGCTGAGAGAGCTGGAACTGAGGGACAGACAGGAACGCGCTGAGGGAGCTAGAACTGGAGGTGAGGGACAGCGGGAACGAGCTGAGGGAACCGGAGCTGGAGCTGAGGGAACCGGGGCGGCTGAAGGAACCAGGCGGGTCCTGAGGGGCGGGCCGGAGCGGACTGAGGGGGAGCCCGACAAGTGCAAGCCCTGAGGGAGCCCAGGCTGGGCGACCACAGAGGGTGGATTAAAGTGAGGCGTGCAGTTGTTATGAAGCATCATGGTCTTTCACGGCATCTTCCAGGAGAAATTCCAGGTCCATTTCTCGCCCCTGATTATGTGATCACATGCCAGAGCACTCCGGGAGGTGGGCATCAGGGCAAGGGTGCGTGAGGGGAGCAGGCAAGCCCTAATGACACCTGATTTTACAGTAATCACCGATATTATCCTTCACATTTACAGAGGGGAAGATAAAGGCACTGACAGATGAAGTCTAGTCCAAGATGAAACAGAGAAGCAGTGGAAGGTCAGAAGTCCAAAGCAGTGTCTCTGGGTCTGAGCCACTGCTCTGTGTAATGCTGCAAGTGTGGCATTTTGGGGATGGTTGTTTTAACTCTTAGAAAAGCATTCATACTTTCTCAAATAATGATTGCCTACACCATAACTTCACTTGAACATAAATATATGGTGAGAGCTGTGTAGTGTTTGTCCTTAGGAGGGAAAAAAACACTGGGAAAAAGCCAAGGCAGTATGTCACTGTATGTTCCTGTTTATTCTACTTCTTATTTTTCACATGTTTTATAAAATGTGTATCTCCAATGACTAATACTTCTAAGTAACCAATTTGTGCCAGTAAATGGAAGCACCATCTGTAAGAAGCTGATTTTCAGAAGCCAAGTTCTCAAACATCTGAGGAGGAGGAGGTGTTATAACTTAGTGAGAGACGACCAAAGTGTAGACTTGGGTTTGGGAGTCAGGATGATTTCAGATGTATTATGTAAGCAGGATGTGAGAGGAAAAGGGAAATGGGGAGCAAAATGATGGAGCTCTTGTTCAGCGGGAACAAAGATGAAGTAACCCTTGCTGATAGAAAGGGTAAGAAAAACACAACATTTGGGGAAAAAAAGACATTTAATTGAGTTTGAAATGTAGCAGATGCTGATTGCTGACACAGTGAAGAACACAGACCCGTGTGCTTACTCAGTGACATTCAATGACTGTAATAAAATGAAGGTTAATTAAATAAAAGTAGCTGAGATCACTGCTCTCATTTGTGCACTGTTTCACAGAGGAAAATGGAAGACCTTTGGGCCAAGTTCATCCCCTGCTGATACTGTTGAGTAACTGCACGTGTATTTCTAACAGTCTGAGCAGTTTTATCATTCTTGAGTTTCCCCACTTCCTTCCTCTCTTGGAAGAAACCTCAGCTGATTGCAAAAAGCCAAGCTGGAGTCACTAGAGCCAAAGAGAGCTCTTGACACTTTATCTGACAGCTGAGTTTGTCCCTGTGAGATCAGAAATCAACTTTTCATGCTGATCTGGTAATTTTCTTTACACAGGGCAAGAAGTTTGTGCAGGGACAGCCAAAACTAACGGGATCACATGTGCACGTTTAATTGTTTTAAAATAAAAGTTACAAAAATGTTGGTGTATCAGTATTAGAAGATCTTACCAAATGTTGAAGAATAAAGATGGAGTGCAGTCTGCCTGCAGAACTATGGGACATACTTTGCTTCATACACCTTCACTCCATAAAGTACTTAAGAGGAAAAAACTGT